TCCTCGCCGCATTTAAAGACTTTTGTGGAAGATTCACCGATAATATTATTAAACTGTTTTTCTTTTATATCATTTTTAATTTCAGGTATCTGATAGAAGAATATGTATTACATTTTTACAACTCAAAATATACACACATTATACACAAGCTCATAAAATACTCACTATTAGATGAGAAACCAAGGATAATGTATCATGGAAAATTACGGCACTGTCTACACTCGTGGTTTCTTGTTCAAACATCAAAATAGTTATAAATTATAAGGCATTGACTAACTGAACTGAGTGACGATAAAAATGAGCCATTATTCGGCCGGTTGACACAATATTTTTATTCATTTAAAATTACCGCTGAGCTGTACTTAATATTATTTAAAACTATATTAATTGTTTTTATATTAATCACACAACACCAAAACGTTAAAAAAAAGTATAAGATATAATAAAATAATATATATAATAAAATAGTATAAGCCTGGACAGATTAATTGTTTGCGTATTCCATGCAACCCAAATAATTATAATCAATTAAATAAATTACAATAAAAATATATGAACTTATCAAAGAAGAAGTGTTATCTATAAGATATAATAACACTTTATTATGATACCTGTCACAAGTAAATTTTTAATTATAATAGAGTCATGTTATGTTATATTATGTTATGTTATGTTATGTTAGGTATATTCATTTAAAACAACATTGTTATAATAATTTAAAGTAGGTAGGTAGGTATGTGAAATATTGTGAAAACACTTAAAAATCATTCTATTAGTAATAAATAATAATAATATTATATAATATTAAGTAAAAGTCTTAAAATATAGTATATTATTACACTTTCATCAAACTTCATAGTAAACAACTATTAAATGAATACTTAACAGTAAATCTATTTACTAATTTAAAGCCATGGACGGAGCAATGGGTTTGGTTTGTGGGAGGGGGGAAGCATTGTTCAATACATTATTAAATATTTATTATTTATGAAAAAAACTCTCTCATTATAGTTATTAGTATAAAGGATTTTTATACTATTAATGATGTTATGTAACGTCGGTGTAATTGGCCATTAGACAAGATGTTACCACATTCGGTTGACTAAAAAACACAAGTATAAAATTATTTATTACGTATCAAAACGAATATGATTCAGAACGTAAATAACGAACCTATAAATTCGTTTATTATACATTTATATATATATATATATTTATTTTTTGTTGCTCATCATAAATCTCACGATACAACACTATGCTCTAGTACACAGCTAAATGGGCCGTGATCCAATGACATCTCTACCCTCTCTTGAGTCCTCCGCAGATTTGAAGAATTTCATTCATTTTGATACAAATATTATAAATGCTTGAAAAATATCATCAACTATAAGACTAAAATCTAAGCTGGGTTGTACAGATTTGAGATTATAATAGCTAAGTATTTATACACATGCAGTATTCGTTCGAGGTTTATTATTGCTATGGAATTTAGTTGACCTGTACAGTTATATATTCAATATTTCAATTATGTAACATAGGTAGATATATGTGAGTTTATTTTTTTTATTTAATTAAAAAAAATTATGAATGAACCCAACTAATTTGATAAATTACAAAAGGCATTAGCTCGTGCATTTTAAAATATACGAGTACATACATCAGACATAATATTTAAAAAGGTGGTTAAGTGGATGTCATTCTTCTGTACAGTAGGTTACAAGTGGGTCACTGTAATGGATGTCGTTAAATTTTAATTCAATGATATAATATCATTGTATACGAAAAATGATTCTGATCGAAGACGCTCAGTCAGCCTATGATATTACTAAGTATATTTTATGATATTATTGTGAATTAAGTACTTTATATTTGCCTATTTACGTGGAACCTTGTTTTAAATTTTCAATCCTTAGCTATAAAAATTGAACATTTTATATATTTTTAACTACAAAATAGTTTTAAATTTGACACATTTTGTTAAAATTCGAACTTTAAATGCTTATAAAAAAATACCGTATCCATGTATTTTTAATATTTTTCAACTATTATTGAAACAATGTATCAGGAGCCTTATTGTATTAAACTGTCACGCAACAAATAAACTTTTATTGACATCTATAGAAAAAAAACTAACAAAATTGAAAACTGAAAACGTCCGTAAACAGCTCAAAATATTTTGAAAATTGTATGGTGTATAGCAAATGCTAATTTAAACATTCAGTGAAAATGTCATGTAGCTACCATAATTTGTTTTAGAATGACACCAAAAACGTTTTTCCTTAATTTTTTTTCTCGGCTCTTTTGAAAACTAATGGGAATTTTAAATGTTGACCTCCTCACCAACTAAATTCACTTTCCCATCGAATAAGATACTGAAGTTGAAAATCGAATCATTATTTCGAATACTTATCGTGTACACAAACACAAATAATAAAAAAAAAAAAACACACATCATCTCTTCGTTCATAATCTAAAATAATAATAATTAATATCATAACAAGTTTGACAATTAAATTTCAAAATGTTTTAAATATTATATATTATAATACATACACATTACAATAAATTGTATGATACATATTATTTGTTAGGACTTGAACATTAATGACTGTCGGTCTATTTTAGCAAGTCAAATATTATCCACAATATTTACATTTTAGATTCTGAGCGGAACAATGAATGTATTGATTTTACATAGATGTGTGATTTTTTTAATTTTTTGTGTCTGTACATTGAACATGATAAGCAGTCAAAATAATTCTTCGATTTTCAATTTCAGTACCTTGTTCGACGGGAAAATGGATCTAGTTGTTGTATTGAGGAGGTCAATATTTAAAATTCCCACTAGTTTTCAAAAGCGCAGAGAAAATAATATTTTTTATAGTTATTTTATTTTTAAATTTGGACTCAATGACATATTAAATAACGATTTTAGCTCTTTTGTTGTAACTTTACAATATTAATTCAACCTACCAGATACCGTATTAATAATAAGTACCTAATAACAAATAAAATATATAATACAAAATATCCACACTGACAACAGTCTCCTCTCAGAATAATTGTTCGTATACTATTATATTAGAATTCAAATTTAATACCATCCATTATAACGCGACACAATAATTATAACCTACTATACATCAGACCTTCATCCACTCATCCACCTTTTTTTAATTGATTTTATTTTGTGAAAACATTTATTTATAAACTGCTACTGTATTTTCTCGGTTGAACACTTGTTGTGTTCATGATAATGAATTATTGAATATATTACACGTGCCGGTGGTTTCAGGGTAATTGATAACTAGTGATAACTGTGATTGATTGAAAGATTTTCTATACGTACGTCTCAAACTGGAGTCGGTTATTTGCTTATTATGTAGGCGTGTGTTAGATGCGTTTGTCCTATACACATTCAAGTGGTAATTGCTTACTTCGTCACTTATTTTAATGTCAGGGAGTTTTCCATTTTTTAATGTTCGGTTTTACATTTCCGAGTTTGTTTAAAAAGTAATTATTTTTCTAATTTGTCATGCCTCTATTGTTCTTCTTTTGATAATGTAAAGCAGGTATCTTTGATTTTATGTTTATTTTGTGGAAAACTGAGATTATGACTCTTCGTTTATCATTAAGGCTTTTTAATTTCTGAGTATCCCAATATCCAAGGGAACCCACATGAATTTTATTTGTGTATTAATTCCAATCGAATTTGGGTAACTCGAAATCATCGATACCTCAAACATTTTTCAATTAAAATTTTCTACCAAACAATGTAAAAATCGTGTAGGCATTTGTAGACAAACAGAGAACACAGATAATATTGTTACCTTAAAGTTTGATAGTTGTTCAATTCACTCTAAAATCAAAAATGACAGCACCCTATTGAAACTATTGAACGAAAATTTGCTATTTCGTACGTGTGTAAGACGGAGACAATACACATGCGGGTGCGACGTCCTCTTAATATTAAATTAATTAATATTACATATTGTTACTGATACGTGGTTCATCTAACATTCTAACAAGTTAACCGCTCGCTAACGACTCGCTATCCATTCACATAATATAAGATGGGAATTTAGAGAGACATTTTTTAAGATTTTATTTGTTGTGTTTTTGTTCATAATGACAAAATTAAAACACGTAGTAGGTATAGGTATGTATTTAAATAACTTTTATTTCAAGTTAAAATTGTATATTTTGGTTTTTTAATAAGTTGGACGACTCGAATTTTTTTTCCGGTCCCTTGGACCTTGATCTGACCAAGTTTGACTGTATAACTGTATATTAGTTATTGATATACATTATTGTATGGTTTGTGGTTAATGGTGTATACAGTTTATTGGATAGGGATTTGTAATTGACGTTATTGCGCTCAAAGTGTCACCGTCCACTGATGATGATGGTGCAGTTATCCGAATTCGAAGATGAGATAATTTCCAGTGCTTCAATAGCTGACAAATATAATTGACTGACTATGTAATAACTTTTGTTCTCGTCAATATTTTTTTTTTTTTTACCTATTAAATTGACTATGTTCATATAAAGTCTAAACAAAAAAAAATGTACTATACATATAGAAGTTAATTACATCATTAGTTGTTCATTGCTACCCTATGTATATATAATAAATATATGAGGTACGTTCGGAAAGTTGGTTGAATATATTATATTTTAAAAATTGTATTGAAACATAATTAAAATTTAATATAAATTTTTTAATATTATAGTTTGCACCATTATTTAAACTCTTGTCATAACAGGATAACACTTTCTACAATCTTCCATCAAAAAAAAAAAATTACCTACGCCTGCAGCAGATCTCTGTGGTGAGATTTTAAATTTGTTCATCCAATTTAAACACTCACACCAAGTGACGTACGTGATACTCACTAGTTTCGAAATGATTTTGTACTTTCCCAGGTCCCTGCGAGCAAACGAAATAATCAAAATAATAAATTTTTTTAATTACGTACTTTACTTGTTTTTATCACCAAATGAAAGGTATTTTCTGGACGTGCCTTGTACACGAGTATTAGTATACCTACTAAAAGTAACTAAAATTAAAACTAAACTATTAAACCTTCATATTTCGAAACCATAAACTTACAGATTTATATCTATGAGTATAAGAATAACTGTTATTATCAAACGCAAACATTGCTAATAATAAAAATAAGTTTTAATCACATTGACCTATATTATAATAATAATACAATATAGTATATTGATATAGTAATAGTCCTTAAATATCTTACTAATATTTATAAAATACGATATAACACTTTCATGTTATTTTATTATTACAGATAATGTTATACATATTGATGCCGTTTTGGGAGATAAGGCTGAACTACCATGTCATGTTCAAACTACCAACAGTACAACAGAATCGCCAATTTTAATTATTTGGTATAGAGGACAAGATTATCCGATCTATAGGTAAGCAATGATTAATAAAATAGGTACTTCGATTATTAAAAAAAAAACCAGAAACATCAACCAGGTACATTTTCTGAGTGTTAGGCACTAGACTAATTTCAATGAATTTATAAAGTAAGTATTATAAGGCATTATTATTATTATACATACATATATATATACAAGGTGATTCATATGCACAGAGAGAATATAATCCTTAAATTTGGTTTTACATTAAACATAAAATAGATGTAATATTATTTGATCTAGTACTTACCATAATACTCAAATGATCATAGTCCAAATAAAATTTAGATTTGAAATAGTCTTCTTAAAATTTGTCACTGTGGAACATTATCATTAGTACATAAAGGACATAAAGTAGGTACATAATGCATATAAATCTTAATAATTTAAAAACAACTAGTTCAAATTTAAAATTATGCAGGTAGGTACATTAACATTATAAAAAAAAAAAGTGAGTCGTCGCGGGACCCTTGGTAGATGTGAAACATCGAAATTATTTTGTATAGAAAATATGCATGAAAATGTAAAGAATGGTGCATTAAAGAAAATAAACGTGGCATAATCAAAAACAAAATATTCAGATTAAGAAAATTATTCTTGATTTTAAAGGCGCATTAGATGTTTTTCTTGCTGAGTGTGCTTTCCGCCCACGCCGTCAAACTGTTTCACCCGCCTCATTAGATGTTTCACATCAAAAATCATATTATGCCTAACAACTTACAATTGAATGGGTGGTGATCATTTGAAAAAAAATGTATATATCGACACAAGTATAGATACTGAAAATTTAAAAACTTAGAATTTGAATACAATATGGCTTATTAAAGTAAAAAGTATCGAGAAAGTCGATCTGCTGTATCTAGTGGTGGGCGTTAAAAGTGTTTTTAATACTACCTCGTAATTTAGAAAGCCGCTGTAATATGAATGTGTTAAATTTGAATTCAATCATAAATCACTGTATATACGTATACAAAAATTGTAATATAGTATATAATATTTTATATTGCTATTATACATTTATTTTTTCAATTTATAATATGGTAGGTTAAACTGATTTTTCCAAAAAACCAATAGCATATATTACTATGATAATTATTTTAATATTATTTCATAAAACATTACTAACTGCTATTTAATGATAAATTAATAGTACCAACGTAATGTGGAACGGCGGGAGTAGGTTCGTCGTGGTATAAATAACTTAAAACTAATCTAGTTATTTTGAAAATGTAATTGTGTATAGTAAATATTAATATTCGTGATGTTGAAATGTTTCAAGTACCAACAAACGATGCTATTTGAATTTCAAGAAAATAATTAAAATCGTTATTTTTCGTTCGAATATCAAATGTAACAAAATTTTACAAATTGTATTTAAATTTGAACTTCAAACGCTTATAAATGAATACAGTGCCTATGTATTTTCGATATTTTTTAATTGCTACTAGTGCAACGTATGTGGAATCGCAATTTAAATTTTAATATTTTTTACCGATCGTAAACATATTTTGAATCGAGATGTATAGAAAAATACTATTTTAAATAATATTGGAATGTTTCAAGTATCAATGGTTAATTTTGATTGAATAATACAAAAACAAAAAAAATGTTGAACATCAATCGCTCATGAAAAATGTGATGTGAATATTTATACTAAACTATTTTTGTGTTCAATCTCGTATTATATAATTAATATTTATGTGTTCGTTTTATGCATTTTTAGCTAATGCGTACAACTTACTGAGATGATTTTTATAAATCCAGTAAAAGTATTAATTGTACCCATATTAATTTACACATTATTGTAAAACCAATACATTCATCGTTCCACTCGTAATCTAAAATGGAGCGAATATACGTTCTCTATAGAATCAGCATTGAATATTGATAAATATTGTAAAAATTAAAGTTATAAGTCTCTATGATTAATATTATAAAGGGTATTAATATCTTAATTACAACAAAATAACTAAAATAAATAATATGCGATATATAAGTAATGTATCAATCTGTCATACTTTAGGGTAGACACTAGTACATATTCAACAATGTTTCAAAAACCTCTGAAAATGTCCACGTATATAATACATGAGTGTGTTTCAAACTTTCATTTATTTATTAGGCTACGGTTTAGTGTGATTATAAGTTCTCGTTCATAGAGTTAATTTAATTTATCGTCAAAATCACTCCATAAATTTATTTATTAAAAATAAATAACAATACGCCACACAGAATGCATGCTCTATATCGCGAGTGTCATATTTATTAGATTCCGATAGCAGTGCACTATCTATATCATACAATTATGGACTTAAATCAATGCATATATTTATTTTATACATATAAGTACCTAAATAATACGTATAGAATTGTGTACACAATTAAAGCGAACCATATCTATGAAAACCAACTGAAAACATCCCATCTTCAAGAGTCCATCTATTCGTCAACCGTTACCACTTACCACAATAACAATGCCAGTGGCACAACTTGAGAGGGCAGCAATGTGGGATTTGCCCACGTCTGATTTTAAGAACACCCAAATTATTGGTGAAGAACCATGATAATATTTTTTTTAATATTTTGAGGAAACATATTATTTAGTAGACAATTATTGCCAAGATAGTAATTAATAATTGTTATAGTTTTTAGTTCGAAATATGGACGAGTTGGTTTTCTGATACAATATAAATTCTAAAACTAAAACAATCACTATTAAATTCATCCACGATTTCTAAAAAAACCTCTAGGTACATAGAAGGTATTTACAAACTTTTGATTTTTCAATTATAATTTTTAGATTCTGAGTGGAACAAATGAATGTATTGATTTTACAATGATGTGTGTTTTTTTTTTTTTATTATGTTTTTTTTTTGTGTCTGTCATCAACTTTTAGGACAGTAAAAGTGCTTGGATTTTCTTCGACAGTATCTTTTCTGATAGGAAAGTGAATGTAGTTGGTACTTTGGGGAATCAAAAGTAAAAATTTCACTGTAGTTTTCAAAAGCACGATGAAAAACAAAAGAAAAATTAAGTAAAAACGTTAATTTTTAAGCAAAATCTGTTTTCGAGAAAATCGAAATTGGTTTTTGGTGTAACTTTAAAACAAACGACCATAGATAAGTGAAATTTTCACTGGTTGTTTATTTTATATTTGCATTTTCTATACACGATACCATTTTCAAAATATTTTGATTTATTTTGAACTCTTTAGGGACATTTTTAGTTTTTTTTTTTATGAATATCAATAAAAATGTATCAGTTGGTTAAAAAAGCTTGAAAATTTAATAGAGGGCTTCTAGTATATTGTTTCAAAGGCAGATGAAAAATATTAAAAATCCTTAGTCACGGTTTTTTTTTATAAACTTTTAAAGTCCAAAAATTGACAAAATATGGAAAAATCACGAAAATAATTAGCAAATTATTTTGAGTTAAGAATTCGTAAAAATTTTTCTTTTTAAATCTAAGATTTTAAAATGTGATACAAGATTCCTTATAAGATTATCTACCTTTATCAAGAAATAAATGTCTATAAGAAAGTCAAATTAAATTTTTATGAGCGTTTGAAATTCAAATTTTTACAATATTGGATATTCACTCGATTTCTCATGTAGCGATTCCCTTATTATGTTGTATGTAATTCAAAAACGAAAAACTGTAGATACGTGAAAATTTCACTGAATGTTTATATTAGCATTTCCTATACACCATTACAATTTTTAAAATATTTTGACTCTTTTTGAGCTGTTTACGGACATTTTCAGTTTTAAATTATTTTAGTTTTTTTTTTTATAAATATCAATAAAGTTTTATCGGTTTGGTCAAAAAGTGTAAAAATGTAATACAAGACTCCTGATATATTGTTTCAATATCAGTTGAAAAATATTAAAAATACATAGGCACAATTTTTTTTATAAGCATTTTAAGATCGAATTTTGACAAAATTTGTCAAATTTAGAATTGAATAATTATTTTGTAGTTAAAAATTTGTAAAATATTCAACTTTTGTATCTAAGGATTGACAATTTAAAACAAGATTCCACGTAAGTAGTTTATTCTGTTACCAAATAATCTTATAAATACATGTACACAGTTTATTTTTATAGTCATTTTAAGTTCAAATTTTAATGAAATTACATAAAAAAACCTAGAATAACTATTTTAGTTATTTCGTTGTGATTGTACAATATTATTCGTGGGTACTTGAAATTTCTAAAGTACACTATTATATATCTTTGATAGTATCAGGGTTTGTTGTTGATGTATAACACGTTATAAGTACCTAATGGATATTGTGATATGATTAATTTAGAATTTATTATAGGTACTTACCTATAATAGGTTTTTTTTTTAATACCATAGATAAGTATATAATATGCCTTATACCTAGACTGACATACCGTCTCCGCTCAGAATCGTTTTTCTTATACAATGATATTATATCATTGAATTCAAATTTAATTCCATCCATTATACAGTGACCTACTTGTAACCTACTGTACAGCAGAGCACCTTTTTTTTTGTTATTTTTATTTGTTCCAAATTTCTAGAAAAATGTAAAATATTGCCACTTAAGTACTGGACTGGGGTAGCTGGTAAGGTACCATAATAAATTACTTAGCTTCTCCAGGTGTTTTTCACTATGAAATTATACTCAAGTTATACGCTCAAGACATAACATATAATTAATTTTTTAAGAGTTAATTCACAAATTGAAAAATCCTCTCGTATTTTATGTTTCTGTCACCAAATTATTATTAAATAGGACAATCCAATTAGATGTTAGCCTAATTAACTATGATGAACTATAACTATAGAATACCCACTTATATTTATCCAAGAGGTATACTTAAAAATTAATAGGGGGTAAGGACATCAAATCCATTTTCAATTTACTCTGATTAACCATCTTTAAATAAGATTTTATAGATATAATTACAAAAATTAAATAAAGTATACAATAGTTTCAAAAACATAATGATCAAATTCACAGAAAATATAAACACAGTGCAGGTGAACCCTGTGTATCTAACAAATCTGAAGTATAAAAGACAAGCAAGGCCCCCTGTTTTCCATAAACACTCACCGAATGTGATATCTACCGTGAAGTAAAAACAAAACATCCAATGATATTTTTATAACCCTTTGGCCATAACTTCTTATAGGTAGTCAATATATTCTTATTCCTCCACGAATGGGAATTGGACAATTTAATTTGATATAATCTATTGTAAAATATGTATCCTTATTATTTATATTTTGCGCACATTGTATACCTAAATATTTCATTTAAAAAAAATTCAGATCGATAAATTTGAAAAATTCAATGATAACTATGTAATAAATTATACGAGTAGGTATTATAAAAGGTAGATACAGTAATAATATTGGACGTGTGTGATATTATTATAACTTTAGACCCATGAGCACTAAATAGAACCACCTTGAGCTTTAGCATTATTTATTACCTACCATTAGGTAAATATTTTAATGTGTTTGAAATTTGAATGTTTATTAGAATACTCGAAATTTAAAAATAACGAGTTCGTCCATCTAAGCTAAAAATAATAAAATACAAGTTCACAAATGTTAAAAATAAATAACTCAAGCGTGTATAGCGTGTAACTTCTATAAACATTATTTCTTCAGACTAATCCCAAGATTATGTACGCATGTTATGTTCTTGATTTTCTTCATAATGGTTTCCTCTATAATATATATATGCGTCAATCATGTACGAATGCTACAGGCATGATTATATAAGACGTAGGGAATATGCTTGTCATTATCCATTGCATATCAGAGCCATTGACGTCTTAAGATTAAGATTAATTTTGAACAGTAGTGTGTAGTGTTTGGATGTACCTACCTGCCTACCTATAGCTGGAAATTAAGGTATTGTCATTTTAAGTACTGAGAATAATATAAGTTTATCAATATTTAAAGTTATAAATATTAAATCAATAAGTGTTTCAAACGTTATTGAAATATTAATAATATACCTAATATGTAAACATCAAACAAAGTTGAAAAAAAACAAGGGGCACTTTGGGAGTGCCGACAGAAGTGACTACTATTCTTATAGCGGGCTGTGACTGTATGTTTTGAAAAATTAGGTTTGCTAATTATGACTTGGTTATTTTTAAATAATACGAGATATTAAATTCTTTATAATTATTAATTGGTTTTTTTTTTTAAATAATATGAGTCATTAAATTCTTTAAAATAAAAAGTTTTTTATATTTGCAATTGATTATACATATTTTTGTAACATTTTTTACGATTTAAATGTTTATACATTTTTATTATCATTGCTTACCCGAGTACTTAATATTCCAATTGAAGAAAGTTTAGTAGTCCAACAACAAACATTAATATGGAATGAAGACATATTATGTACTTACGTATAGCTCCCGGAGAAAATAATGTTCCTACCACCTTATTGTTTGATGATCATGCAGAAGGACTGTTTTTTCCTTCAATATACCTCGGTCAATTTCGTAAATTTAAAGAAGGTATCTTATAATATATAAGGTATCTTGTTACGACATTTATGATAAAAACTAGTGAACTCAAGCGATCCGACACAAGAGGAGTTATCCCCCCCATCACTCTAATAATTGACATTTGTACATTTGTTGATTTAAAAATTAAATCTCGCTCAGTTGGTATAACTGACACCTTAATTGGGTTGGCAATTTGTATATGTGTGAATATATAGAGTCACATCGGTCACCGGCCAGTTTTCGTTGCGCGGTCTATAGCGTTCCGTGACGAAAGTTTTTCCCCGCTAAAAGAAGTAGTCACTTCAAAAAAAAAAAAAAAAAACCAAGTCTAAAAGCATTTAAATAGCGTTTAATGAAAAAGTCTGGACTATTTAATTGATAATAATATCATTCACTGTGTATACTTTAAACAGCATTGATCAACGAGAGCACACGACGAGCCAACATTGGTCGGGTCTTTCTATGAAAGAAAGAATCTATTACACGGAAAACAAAGGATACGCTGTTCTAATAATTGAGGACATCCGTACATCTGATGGGGGTCAGTACAGGTGCCGAGAAGATTTTAAGTATTCACCGACTCGCAACAATTTTATTTTACTCGATATTATAGGTAAGTATTTACCGCATTCGCAGCTGTCAGCTGCAGTTAAATAAATAATTTTAATAGACTGAAACAATGAGTGATTAAACTTAACTGAACTATTATACTCCATATCATGATAATGTGGTTTTGTGCTCATACATATTATTGCACATTATTTTTCTCATGTCACGTATACTGTCACGTATATATATTATGTTCGTTCGTTCGGTTTTATTTCTCGCGTCTTACAAAAAAATATTACTTCTCCCATTTCTATATCGTTAATTAATAATATTGTACATAAGTACACTGTTTTTTACGATTTTTCACATTTAACGAACGCGTTTGAGCTTTATTATCTGTGGATCGACAATGCAACACGTACTATTTGCATTTTTGTCAAAATTTAGTTATACATAGGAACATTTGTTTGAAATAGCGGCGGATCGATTGGCATCTTCGGATTAGGTGAAAACGTACTACTTCTCATTCAATAACTGATTTTAAATAGTCAATTGAAACAAAACTTACTATTTGCACAATATACATTTTGTCAAAATGAACTATTTATTGTTCGAAGCTAAACGTATTATTTGCTATAGAGTCCGTTATAAAAAGTAAAATAATTTTCTCAAAACGTGATAATTACATAAATATTTCCATAACGTACTATTTCCATCCAAATGCAAAATGTAGGTACTATCACTCATGTAAAATATGGTATAGGAACGAAAATGTATTAATGCAAAACGTACTATTTTCAAAAACAAATGTGCCTTTAATTTTTTTTTATTGTTACATTTTATTGAATTGGATAGTTTTAATATATGATAACTGATAAGATGTTTTTTTAACACATTATAGACATGCCAACCTAAATTGCAAAAAAAAAAATCATTTACAACTTTGATACATAAATTGTTATACTCGCAAAAACTTGGTGATAAGGTTTATACAATTAAATTGAATCATTGATGATTACACATATTTTATTTTCAATGTACCTTACTTTTGCTATTTGCTTAATGTTTTTACAATAGTGACTATACTAAAATTTAATTTTATACATAACATTTACCTTGGCGAAAAGAATCAAATTATATAAATCAGTACTATTTGTGTTAATCCAAGCAAAACGTACTATTTATTACAAATAGTACGTTTTGATCCAATTCAAAATTGAAAAAGCTATATTTAAGTAAAAAAAAAGACATTATAAAATACTTTCACCCGCAAAAATGTATTTAATATATTTTATCTGTTTTTCAACATTTTTGCAACAGCAGAAAATAACCTCTCCCGAAAAAGATGTAAAACGCAAATTGTACATTTGCATTGTCTCCCTACATTTATCGTCAGGTATGTTACAAATGTATAACTGATTATCTATTGCCGATCCCTGAAAGCTCCGCGACTCTATTTTTTTTTCAACGAAAGGATTATTTGGTAGACTTTATAATATAATATAGGTAATATTATGTTTACATAATATATATATATATATATATACGAAACAAAAAGTTGTAAAGGTACTCGTTTGACATTATTATTCGGTAAATATATTATAATATTAGACATTTTAGAAATTAAAATCATCGAACCTGTGATATGCATATTGGACACAAATTATTTGTTTCTTGTACAACTGTACAAGCCATTGTGCGCGTAAATAGAATATTATAATCGTAGATGTTAATACAATTAATACGTCAGTGACGAAATATTCCAATCGATTAATTTGATTAAAAAAAAAAATTTCACTCAAATAACCATCACAGATACCGGCTGATGATGGATGTTACCGAAATTCTAAAACTAACATATTTTTATTATGATTTAAACTGTTTCAACCGTCAGACGAGAGGAAGAATACTTTTAAGTACCATTCAGTATCATATAATTTTAAATAATATGTGTATAGCTATAGGTAGGTATACTTGCGTAAAATATATGCATTGCATTATTATAAAACAAGTATTTTATGTATATTTACATTAAAAACAGGAAATCGACTTTTATATTTTTGACTGCTCATCGCTGAATATAGTGAACATAGCGGCCAGACAATAAAAACACTTCCCTTGATTGCACCACTGTTATTATTTATTAAATACTATAATAAGTATTTATAATATTACGTTGTATGACGTGTAATTTGAATGTATTTAAGACTCCGAGAAATCCCATATTATCGTACACTAAGCTAAACAAATGTTTTTGTAATTTACATGGCTGTTGTTCATGAGAGTTATGAAAAAATCTTGAATAAGAAAATTTTAATCTCTACATCATTGATAACAAAGAAAACGTAAACAGTATTTCGTATATGTACATTTCTATATTTACTACCGTTAAGACTATACTTATGAATGGTGACATGATCAGGATCAATATGTATAATATGACAGCCATTGATATACATTTCAGTTAAACAAATATACTATTTATTACCTAATAATATACCTATATTATTTACCTAAGTAGGTACCTACTTGTGTAATATTATAATGGATAAGTGAGCTTCCAACATTGCTATTATCTATAAATTATAATTTTATCAATGCAACTAAATAATGAATTTTTTAATAAATGACTCATGATTCAACTGTTATAAATGTTAATGTTAACGCTGTTAATTTATATTATACAAATAAATTAAATTACGTAATTTGAAACTTGAACAGAAAATGTTGCTAATATAATTATTTTATCAATTATTACAAATAAAATAAAAATTCAAATTCAAAATAACTTATTAACCATAAAAATTACAATGGACATAAAACAATCTTATTGCACATATCGTGTGTTACTTATAAATCACCAAATTGTAGTTAAGTAGGGTAGGTAGGTAGTACTTACTAAAATTAGTATCAAATATGAAGAAAACAAAAAAAAAATAAGCAATGCAACTGTACGATAGTCGATAAGCGTTGGCAACATTATAGGTAAATCGGCTAAAATAAAACTTAACTAAACGGACTTATTTGAAATGTCTAGGGTTGTTTTATTATTAGCTACTTAGCAATGGGTTGAAATTCAAATATATCAAATGCCCGAATTCAAATACATTTTGTTAAAACAATTTATATTCTCTAATCAATATACTGTCTGGTATCGTTTGTACAAAGAAATTAATTTGTTTGAATATAAAAAAATTTAATATTTTTTTAAAATAATTTGAAATAGGTAGTTACAAAACAAAATAATCTTTACTATTATTCTTTATTGTTATCATTTTTTAGGCTTTAATATCATACCAACTTTGTGTAAATATTATTTTCCTTCCACTCGATAAATACATTTATGATTTTGTTTTTAGGATCAGACGACTTTGATACGAAAGTGATATAATTGTACAAAATATAAATGTAAATAACACATAAAAATAAAAATTCCAATAACTTGGTCCACATTTTTTACAAAATTCCAGCGATGAGTAGTCATAGGTAGTTAATAATAATAGGTAAATTATAATACTATTTGAAGTTAAGATGAGTGGAGTAATGTGCCAACATTTAATGGGGTACCTTTACCCATCAGCCACTCCACTCACCTAAACTTAAAATACTTTTAAATTGACTATAACTGATTTTTATATTATATCTTACACTTGTTAAAAAAATTATGCAGAAATATCTTCTACATTAAAAAATAAATCTAAAAGTATGATGTCACTTAAAAAAAGTAAGAAACTTAAGATTGATAACAATATAAAAAGGAGAAAATATCTTTTTTAAAAATAACGGTCAAAACACCAAAAAAAAATATTTATATAAACAATGTTTATTAAACATAAATTTCAGAAAATGAATTGTTACCTTTAAAAGAATCAACTCGTAATGCTTATATAATATTATTTACATTTATTACAATAATAATTAATCTTTAATTGTATTTAGTACTTAACTATAAAATAGGAAATAACTAGAATTGCCATTTGAATTTAAAAACAGTAGGTATAGGTAACGATAGTCTTGTTATACTTAAATTGTGTATTTCTGGATAAAATTGGCAGTAGAAAGTCACAATTAATTAATTAATTAGGTATTTAAAAAACAACGGTTAGTACAAATTATTAAGAAGACACCATAATATATTTTAAGGAGCTTTCCCAGGAAACTTTGAGAATAATTTTAATCTTAAATATTGTATTAAATATTTGAACACTAATTCAAATTAACTTACAAGTGGTCCCATGCTGCAGTGTTTTAAATTATTTGAGTATTAGTATTTAAATACAGTTTTAAGTATTAAATACCATCCACCAACAATTATTTGAGTACATTTTAAATACTATTATTTTACTGTATTTAATGCATACTTTCTTAAAAATCCTTTGTTACCTGAATTTCAATTAAAATTATTTGGAACTGTCGTAAAAAAAACATTGATTGTAAACTGTTCTGTGATAACTACGAAAAACCTTATATTTTTAGATGATATGCCAGATACCGGTGAAAATATGACTGAAACTAATTTTAACTTTTAAGTAACCCATGTTTGAAATGTTATATATTCATTTTATGTGAAACAATTTTAATACAATGACAATTAAATGATAGTTTAAATTTGACTTAAACAATAAGTCTTTAATCAATAAATGAGTTCATATTAATCATTATTTTAAATTTCAATTTATTAATAGATAGTTAATAAATATTAAATATTTTTAGAAATTAATAATAAGATATAACAAGAAACATGTTTCCATGTTATAGTACTACAATTAATAATTATTTTTTACCACTATATTGTAAATAATTTAAATTTAACTGTCGAAACCCAGTTGAAAGCTTTACTAATATTTAAAATGAGGATACGTATAAGAATAATATAAGCCATATACCTACATTTGAGTTGATATAATTTACTAATTGATAATAAAAAGTGGAACATAAAATGTTTCCTAATGATAACTATTTAAATTTTAAAATAACTGTTTACAACACTGTAACAACCAAGTGAGTACCATGATTGTTGGAATAACGACTTACGAAGTTATATAAAAAACGGTTTTGCTTGAACAAAAACTATTCAAAGTTTCAGAATCCAGTGAGAATCTAAATTTATGCCTACACGATACAGAAGAAAATATTTTTTTGGAGCTTCTTTATTTGTTTGATATCATAAATACAAATACAATTATTTAAGTTTGAAAAACTCAATAAAAAAACGTATTTTAAAATAATAATCACTTTTTTCGTATTTATGATATTAAAAAAAAAAAAATAAAAACCCTATGGTACAGAAAATATTGTCATCTTTATCATGTATGACTGTTCCCTGAGTGGTTATTTTTCAAGCGAAACATTTTTAACAACAATTTATGGGTGTGTGGGCGTCCTCTTAATTGCGAAAAAGGTCTTAAATTTGCACTTAAAAAGATGAAGTTATAAGTATGCACTCTTCTTTTTAAAACTGAAAATGTGAAGAAATATTTTAGAAATTGTTGACATATTTTTTATTTATGACGCTGTCTACAAGTAACACTTGTACTTGCCTAACATATCTATAGATATCTATCGAGAGTATGATAGTAACCAATAGATAAATAACATGCAAATCTATGAACGTCTGAGCCCTAAATTAATTAATATTACATAATATTATACATTATATGGAATAATTTAATATTGTATCCTTTTGACAAGGGAAATAAAAAGTATCTAGATGATAGTCGATATAGAGTAACATTTTTTGCAGTTCTTTAGACGTACACATATACACAAAATACATTTATACATCATTAAATAAATTCATTACAAGTTGTATTGTACAAAAATACCGATAACATCGAAATAATAAAAACCGGAGCAAAATAATGTTTCAATATATAATATTATTCTATTTTCTAACGATAAAAGCATTTTTTTTTTTTTTTTAACACTTTAATATGCGTAAAAGGTTGTTTGATAACATTTTTGAACCATTTGTCCAATACAGTACCACCGAGCAGACTGGAAATCTTAGACAACGAGAAAAACGTCGTTTGGAATTCCACATTGCCACCCGTCATGGAAAACGAGCCGTTGGAAATCACGTGTAAAGCGTACGACGGTATGTACACAATTATTTATATTAAAATAAAAATAAATAAATATAAATAAAAAACCGGACACATATCTTATATACATTTGAAAGTATTGAACAAACTTGTCACTGATTTGGGTAGAACACGTATACAGCTGCACTGTATATGCATAGAGTGTGTACGTCGCATCTATACGCCTACTTACAAAAATGAAACTATAAAACGTTGCAGAGGGACCTCCCTTTCTAACGAGTAACGACTGGTATTTTTTTTTACATGGCTATCTTACTGTCCTGTCAAATGTGTTTTGTACACTCGACGTATTGTTATATCGACCGACTTAAACGACAAACGTTCCACGTTGTATTGTCTCATATCTGTCACGCGCCGGTAACTTGCTTACAGTACATTGGGAAATATTTGAGCATAAGAAGTAATACTTTTGAGATCATTCCGTAACAAAGTACTTATTTCCCAAGTATTTGAAATACTATTTCATTATGAGTTAGTAAATAAACAAAATCAATATAAACATTATATGTGATAATATTAGGTTGAGTAAAAACATAGGTACATAATAAACACTACATTCAATTTCAACAACAAAAAAAACTCACTCCGTTAACTCAAGCTAATAATATTAGATTTATGTTAATTTTGTTTGGATTATCATTATTTTTTTTTTAATAGCCGCAAATAAAAATGATTCCTATTTGTCATTTTACATTTCCCATAGCCTTCTACTTAAAATATGCTATATTGATTTCGAATTGAAAAAAAATAAATACCATTGTAAAATCACTCAGAACCTAAAATAGGTTATAAAGTGAAATCGTTTGGGTTTGTATTTGTAGGTATTTAATAATTATATGAACATAGGTAGGTTAGGTAGGTTAGTCTTCATATTCACTTTTTATTCTTAAATACTTTTAGACGAAATTGTTTGAAAGTTTTAATTCCTTTAAGTCGAAGTATCTGTATTTTTATTTAAATTTTAAATACAAACGAATAGTATAATACATTTTACCCTGTAGTTTGTGGATACGTCAACAGCTATAATAACTAAAATTGTTGAAGTGACCGAGTTTCTGTATGAATTTTCAACTGATAGGTAGGTAGTCAAGAAGGATTAAAAGTAGAATATTGTAGTATCGAGTGTAGCAACTACCGAGTTTGAATCCAGGTCTAATGGTTTCAGTGGTTTGATATTCAATTACGATGTCATATTTATGTCGAATTCGATTGCGTAATTATTATACGCCTCGATTTATTAGTATTTTTTATCATCATTATTATTATATTTATATAGATATTTGTATTAAATTAAAATTCCAAATCATATAAATAATATTATTATTTGCAAATAAAACATAGGTATTGCTTCAACATTAATTGTGTTTTCTTAGCTTATGTCAAATTAATGAATTAGCAAAAGCACTTGGTAATTATATTCATGATTTATTGTCAACGCTTTTTATAGCGATTTTCTATAACCTATTTATTTTAGATTCTGAGCGTGGTCTTACAATGGTGTTTATTTTTTTATTTTTATTTTTATTTTTTATTTTAATATCCTATGTACAAAATTTCTACCAGAAGGAGTTCTTTGATTTCAACATACAGTACCTTATCTCTTAGCAAATTGGATCAAGATGGTACTTTAGAGTGGTCATTTTTCGATTTTATCAATAGTTATTTAATGCCATGGTAAAAACCACTGAAAAAATACGAAAAACCGCTAAAAATTGGATTTTAATTTCTAACGCTTTGTTTATTAGTTATTACCATAGAAACGAATAAAAAATTATAATATTATAATATCAATTCAACTTACATGATATAATAATAAAATTAACGACAATATAAAATATCCAGACTGACAAACCGTCTCCGCTCAGATTCGTTTTTCTTATACAATGATAGAATATCATTGAATTCGAGTTTAATACAATACATTATACAATGACCCACTTGTAACCTACTGTATAGCAGAGCGACATCCATCTACTCGCTTTTTTTTTTTTATTATTATAATATCGATGTGTGTTTTTTGTTTTTATCATCACCTTGTTGGATCAGTGAATATAGGTACTTCAGCATTAAAAATTGAGAGTGGTTTCTGGTAGGAATTTGGATCTATTTGGCAGTATTATAATTTATAGGGGAAAGAGCCAAATGAAAAAAATGTCCAAATGCTTTTCAAAATAATTGGAAAAAGTAATAACAAAAACTTGGAAATTACCAGTTTTTCAGCCAAATCAATTTTGTTTTTTTGTCATAATTTGAGTAGGTAAATTACTTTTAGATCCTACTTAAAATATTTACATATAATTTAAATTAATTATTATTAGAGACTAATTAATTTTCAAAATATTTTGATTCTTTAGAGCATTTTATAAGCGTCTTCAATGTTTTGTTTTTTTCATTTATGATTGTCCGTTTTCTTTTAGTAAAACACCTTTAAAATGTAATAAAAGGTTCATCATACATTTTAATTTTGGACAATTGAAAAAATATTGTAAATGCATATTCAAAAAGTGGGGAAGGGGGTGTCGCTCTGCCGTACAGTATGTTACAAGTGGGTCACTGTAATGGATGGTGTTAAATTTGAATTCAATGATATAATATCAATGTATAAGAAAAACGATTCTGAGCTAAGACTCAGTCTGTATATTTTCTTTTTGTTATTTTTATTGTTAATATTATTAGGTTAGGTATATCCTGTAAGTTGACTTAATTTGTATTGGTTTCTATGGTGATAATGATAAACAAAGCGTTTAAAATTAAAGTTCCATTTTTAGGGGTTTTTGGTAATTTGTTGGTGGTTTTTCCTGTGGTATTAAATAACTATTGAGAAAATCGAAAAATTACCTCTCTAAAGTACCATCTTGATCCAATTTGCTAAAATATAAGATACTATATTATGTTGAAATCGAAGCACTCCTTCTGGTAGACATTTTTTATACAGGATAAAAAAAAAATCCTTCGCTCCCCTCTCAGAATCTAATATTTTGTTTTTAAATATAAACGTTTGATGTTAAAATGTTTATGAAATTAGTTAGCACCACGAACATTTGATACATTTTTTTATTGATCCTTAAGCCCGGCATCTACGGCTATTAGCTGTTTGTAGGGTTGTATTGTAGGGGTAATAGGGTTTGGAACGGTGAGTTTTTACATGTTGCGAGTGTTTGTGTTTGGCAGAATTTTTAAGTGGGCACCCGTAGGTATCTGGCATGCCCGGGTGGGGGATGGCGGCCTTTCTCTCCGGACACCTTGACAGCCCGAAGAAAAATGCGGCCCGTAGCAGGGATCGAACCGGCGCCGGTGCACGTCTTAGTCCGCTCGGCCTCTCCGTCCCACCGTTTGAGAAATTATTTTGTAGTTAAACATTCATAAAATATCATGACCTTGGAATTATAATACAAGAGTCCTGGTGAGTTTTTCTTACTTGAGTTTAAAAAAAAGTTTAGCATATTAAGATCACTTAATATTTTCTTATCAACGTTTAAAATTGATTATATTTTTGTATATGTCATTGAATAATTTAACAAATAATAAAATGAGTAATTAATAGTTTAATTTTTCCAGTTACCTATTATGTTTAATATTTTAATTAGTTGCTATAAAAAGGTGACAAAATTGTTTGCGGATTATCGATATTTTATGTTTGAATATTCAATTCTGTCAACAATTAAACTTCAAACAAAAATCTGTAACAGTATCGTGTAGTTTCAGTAAACGTAAAAAAATTATATAATAATAATAATAATACTAAACACACTATTGTAAATCCAATGCAATACTTTTTACATGAAACATTAACGGTAATTTCGAGGTTTCTCAAATTGTCTTAAAATATTTAAGTTGTATGCAAAATTTCGAATTCTATGAAATATCCTATTATTTAAAATAATGTACACACCAAATCCCACAAAATCTTGAGCCAATTTTAACTTTATTATTCTAAAATATATAGTATACTAGCTGATCCCGTGCACTTCGTTTCCCGTTAAATGTACCAACTCTATATGACTCAAACATTGTTCAATGCGTTATTTAATATTCGGTGTATGATGTTCTAGATTTATCTTAACTTTTCTGTTGCCCGGAATAAAAATTCTGTTTCGCAGCAGTATATTATCAGGTAGGCAATCTACCTATGGTAGATCGCGGACCTCGTGCTGTTTGTACTTAAGTGTATGATTCAACTCAAAAAGTACCAAAGTTATACCAAGGTTGAAGTTTTTACTTAATTCCACATACCTATAAATCCAAACCTGACCTAACCGTACTAAAATCCGATGAATAAAAAAAAACCAAATTTAACCCTTTTTAAATTAGCGTATCTTCTTCCCATAGGTCTAATCTACACACCATCATTCATTTATATATATATATATATATTGACAAAAAATAATAATACAAATCAACAAACATGCCTGATTAACCAATAGCAACCAATATAATATAATACACCATAGAGTAAATAAAGACAACGGTATCGAGTTCAAATCCCAGACATCAATAAATAGTTATTGCAGTTTTTCTAATTATTCAGTTGACTTTTTAAAAATTTTCCTTCGTAAAAACCTTCACCTATTAATTACGAACATCTTAAAAAAAATTGAGACAAATCGGACCAGCTGTTCTCTAATATTTTTTTTTTTCGATTTTTATCGATATTAATCGATTTCAAGCCCTGCTATTATCGATATTTGTATTATTATTTATATTATATTTATATTTTTATTTTTATCTGCTAGAGGGCGCCACCGGTGTAACTCAGTTTTTGTCTCCAAATCTCTAATTCACATGAGTTAGGTCCATAATTTATGCTATAAACCCGCTCACCAACATTCTCTATCATTTAAAAAAAATTTGAGCAAAATCGGCCCAGCCGTTCTCAACTGATGCTATTTCAAATTTTTTGTCTCCATTTTTATATATAAAAAGTGTCTTTACGAGGGGTCGGTAATAGGCCCATGTAGTGGAAATAACTGAACCACTAAGAATATTTTTTTTT